GGGAAGAGATAAATGAACAGACATAAGAAAGCACGTATTGGCTGTATAATTAATAATTAACTAGATACTGTTCTGCTGCAGGAATAATTAAGCACATTCATCATTATAGACAAGAGCTAACCATTCATTTTTATCAGTAAAACCTTTACCTACGATTTCACAGAAACTGTACTGAGAGGTGGTTGCTGTCATTTTATTTTTTATCAGGGACCGACTAGCATGGGCTGAAAGCTTCTTCTGCACCCTGTGCATAGCCATCAGCATGAATTGTTTTTTTTCTTGTGATTGTTTTTTCTTTTTTTTACTTTTTGGCAGAGTTACAACCTTTACTATACTGTATGGTACATAAGTAGCTAAATTGTTTCTGAAAAATTGTACTGGTTTAATAAAATGTATTCAAGCCTGCTTTTGAGAAAAGTGCTCAAAGGTGTGAAGCCTTGACATTTCTTACTGCTAGTTAAAGCTTTTCAGTATGTTTGGCTTCGTGCCACGCCGTACAGTTTTTATGAGTAAATCATTTTTTGAGAACCTGCTGTAAAGTTTCTTAGACTTCACTGGCATTGACAAGCCTGCGATTATATGTTTTCGAAACACATATAATGCTTTTTAATGGTGTAATTCACAATGTGCATTTAACCCATGTTTATGTGTGTGCATTTTAGCTGTGTTTAGAGACCAGGGGCGAGTAAACACACGTAACTGCATGTAAATATACGTAAGTATACAAAAACGCATGAAAAAGCAAGTTCATTTAAAAGCAGAAGTTGATCTGGGAAGCATACATTTTGTGAAAACAGTATTAAACCCGAAACCAAAAATGTAATATATTGCAACGGGCCAATCATTAAATGTGATGGCTGCACTAGTTTTCCTTTTTTTAGCTTTTTAACCTCTGTTTTCACCTGGTGATCTAGCCAGTAATATACCTCCTATATAAGGCTAGGTTCACATATGTGCGGGTGGTTCAGTTGTGAATCCGCACAAAAATCCACCTGCACAGAGGAATGCGGACCCGTGGGTGGGTGCCATTAGTTCTAATGGCACGCCGCCTACACTGGAAAACGCAGGTTCCCATGTGGGCTGCGTTTTCAGAAGTGCAGGGACTTCTTCCCTGCGTGTCACGGGAGTCCATTCAAATGAATGGGCTCTCGTGCCCACGCAAAACGTGGCCCACAGGAACGCACATGTGAACCAGGGCTTAGAGTGCCCCCACTCTAGATGATGGAGCAACAGAGGTGCCTTTGGACCAGGGGCGGACTGACCATTTGGAAACTCGGGCACTGCCGTGGGCCCGGGGTCAGTAGGGGGCCCCATGAGATGCCCCTGGTACCTTTTTCACAGGCTTTTTTGAGTTTGGGCAAGGACACAGGGGCCCCATGATCCCCTATTGCCCGGGGGCCCCATGAGTTGTCAGTCCGCCCCTGCTTTGGACAGCATCATTGTCAGTCCGGCGGGGTCGGGGGCAGTGTTAGATGGACTAGCAGATTTAGTTACACTAACAAATTGAAGCCAAATTCCAGCTCACACTTTATAAGCAGTTACAACAGTTTATTAATTTTGGAATACAGGTGTTAAATAAATAAAAGCTGAACGTTGTAAACATCCGGATTAGTGGTAAATTGGTTGTCTCATCCTCTTAACTGCTAATATTATACAGGATTTATATAGCGCCAACAGTTTGCTCAGCGCTTTACAATATAAAGGGAGACAGTACAGCAACAGTACAGTTCAATACAAGAAGGTTAGGAGGGCCTGATCCTGGAAGCTTACAATCTAAGAGATTCTGCAGAACAACTTGTTCTGTTGACAAACAGACTTACTGGCAAGATCACCAAAATAAAAAAAAAGAATGTCTAAAACAGAAAACTAATGCAGCCATCACATCTAAGAACTGGTAGGCTGCAATGTAATTAATGTTTGCTTTTAGATTTAAGAGTGCTTTAATGCTTTAAATTACTTGAATAATTAAAAAAAAAACCCACGCAAGCACAGGGAGAACATGCAAACTCCAGGCAAGTGGTGCTGTGGTTGGGATTCGAACCAACGACCCTAGTACTGCCAGGTGGAAATGCTAAACATTTATTTATTATTATTATTATTATACAGTATTTATATAGCGCCAAAAGGTTTGCTCAGCGCTGTACATTATAGTGGGGGACAGAACATGAGACAATACAGTAACAAAACAATACACGAGGGGGTCAAGGGCCCTGCTCTTTCGAGCTTACAATCTAGGAGGGAGGGGACAGTATATAACACAGACAGACAGTGCTAATGGCTCATTCATACAACTGAAAGGCCACGCAGCACTGTGCCATTCATTGGTTGGGCTATGTATGTTTAACCAATCTTGACCACACTATAGCCAAAAGACAGCTATGGCGCGGTTCTCCAGTTCTGGGAGAGTGTCCAATCACAGCTGGTCGCATGTAAAAAGACTCGGCAGTACTTTCCTTACACATTGCCTCTGTTTGAGAAAAGGAGTGCTGATAACTGACAAGGCTTTCACTACATTGTTTGCACTGATAATCATGCCACTGCTCATTAGTGTCCTGATAATCAGAGCAGCCCATCAGTGCCCGTCAGTGCAGATCAGTGCAGCCTATTAATGCCCATGAGTGTCTCCTCATAAGTGCCCATCAGTGTCGCCTCATCAGAGCACATCAGTGCAGCCTCACCAGAGCACATCAGTGCACCCTTTTCAGACCATATCAGTGCAGCCTCATCAGATCACATCAGTGCAGCCCCATCAGAGCACATCAATGACGCCTCATCAGAGCACATCAATGCCGCCTCATCAGAGCACATCAGTGCAGCCTCATCAGAGCACATCAGTGCAGCCTTATCAGAGCACATCAGTGCAGCCCATCAGAGCACATCAGTGCAGCCCCATCAGAGCACATCAATGCCGCCTCATCAGAGCACATCAGTGCAGCCTCATCAGAGCACATCAATGCCGCCTCATCAGAGCACATCAATGCCGCCTCATCAGAGCACATCAGTGCAGCCTCATCAGATCACATCAGTGCAGTCCCATCAAAGCACATCATTGCCGCCTCATCAGATCACATCAGTGCAGCCCCATCAAAGCACATCAGTGCCGCCTCATCAGAGCACATCAGTGCAGCCTCATCAGAGCACATCAATGCCGCCTCATCAGAGCACATCAGTGCAGCCTCATCAGATCACATCAGTGCAGCCCCATCAAAGCACATCAGTGCCGCCTCATCAGATCACATCAGTGCAGCCCCATCAAAGCACATCAGTGCCGCCTCATCAGAGCACATCAGTGCCGCCTCATCAGAGCACATCAGTGCCGCCTCATCAGATCACATCAGTGCAGTCCCATCAAAGCACATCAGTGCCGCCTCATCAGAGCACATCAGTGCCGCCTCATCAGAGCACATCAGTGCAGCCCCATCAGAGCACATCAGTGCAGCCTCATCAGAGCACATCAGTGCCGCCTCATCAGATCACATCAGTGCAGCCCCATCAAAGCACATCAGTGCAGCCCCATCAGAGCACATCAGTGCAGCCCCATTGGAGCGTATCAGTGCAGCCTTATCAGAGCGCATCAGAGCAGCCTCATCAGAGTGCATCAATGCCGCCTCATCAGATCACATCAGTGCAGCCCCATCAGTGCAGCCTTATCCGTGCCCATTAGTGCAGCCTATACATGCCCATCAGTGCAGCCTATCAGTTTTCATCAGTGCAGACTCATCAGGCACATCAGTGAAGAACAATTACTTATTAGCAAAATTTTATAGAAAAACTTTTTTTTTTTCAAATTTCAGTCTTATTTTCGCTTGTATAGCAAAAAAAAACAAAACACCACAGGTGAGAAAAATAAAAACTCCAGCTCAGAAAGCTCAATCTGTCTAAAAAAAAAGATAAACATTTTCATATGGGTACGGTGTTGCCATTCATAGTGAAAGCTGAAAATTGGCCTGGGAAGGAAGGGGATGAAAGTGCCTGGTATTGAAGTGGTTAAACAGCCACTGCCAGGTACACCACACCACTTTTGTGAATGGCAGTGCTGGTATCTACGGCAGCCCCTGCTACCAGAGACCAGAGCTGTCAATCACAAATGTGTCTTTTCTAGCAGCATTGTTTGGAGGGGTGGGGTAGAACCTGTCTGACCATGCTGCTTTGAAACTAAGGGACAGATTTACAGTAAATGGGACAAAGTACTATATACATTTGGTTGCCCTAGGGCAGTGATGGCGAACCTTTTTGAGCCCGAGTGCCCAAACTGCAACACAAAACCAACTTTTTTATTTCAAAGTGCCAACACTGGAATTAATCACTTGCCTACCGGGCACTTCTACCCCCTTCCTGCCCAGGACAATTTTCAGCTTTCAGTGCTGTTGCACTTAACAAAGACAATTGTGCGGTCATGCAACACTGTAACCATATGCAATTTTTATCATTTTTTCACACAAATAGAGCTTTTTTTGGTGGTATTTAATCACCACTGGGTGTTTTATTTTTTGCACTATAAATGAAAAAAGAGCAAAAAATTAAAAACATAAAAGGTTTCCTTTGCTTCTATTCTAAAATTTTGCAAACAGGTAATATTTCTTCTTTGATGTGCGTTGGTGAGGCTGCACTGATAGGCAGCACTGATGGACATTGATGAGGCGGCACAGATAGGTAGCACTGATGAGTCGGCACTGGTGAGCATTGATGAGGAGGCTCTGATGATGCACTGATATGCAGGAAATGATGGGCACTGATAAGCGGCACTGACAGCACCAACTGGAGGCACTGACAGACGGCACTGACCGGCGGCACTGCTGGGCATCATTGATGGGTGGCACTGATGGGCAGCACTAATGAGGTGTCACAGATAGGTGGCACTGATAGAAAACACTGATAATGGGTACTGATAGACAGCACTGATAGGTGGCACTGACTGACATCACTGCTGGGCACTGACTGGCACAACCACTGGGCACTGACTGGTGGCACTGACTGGCAGCACTGCTGGGCTGCACTGATGGGCACTGGTGGGTGGCACTGGTGGGCACAGGTGGGCGGCACAGGTGGGCACTGGTGGGTGCATTGCTGGGCACAGGTGGGTGCACTGTTGGGCACAGGTGGGTGCATTGCTGGGCACAGGTGGGCGCACTGCTGGGCATAGGTGGGCGCATTGCTGGGCACAGGTGGGCGCATTGCTGGGCACAAGTGGGTGGAACTTGTGTGTGGCACAGGTGGGCACCGATCATCAGGGCACTGATGATCAGTGACCCTGATGATCAGTGCCGATCCCTGTTCTGACAACTGCCGGTTTTCGGCAGTACTTTCCTCACGATCTGACAGCGTGAGGAAAGTGCAGCCGAGAACCGGCATTTGCATTTCCCGGTGATCAGCGTGTCATTGGACACGGCTGATCACGTGGTAAAAGGCCGCTGTGATTGGCCTTTTACCATGTCACGTGATCAGCTGTGTCCGCAGGACACAGCGATCACGGAGATCGCCCGGTGCGCGCCCCCGGAGGTGGCAGGAGAGCGCGTTCTCTTCCTCTTCTTCTCTTCCTCCTGGCGTGCCCACTGAGATGGCTCTGCGTGCCAGCTCTGGCACGCGTGCCATAGGTTCGCCATCACTGCCCTAGGGGTTATACAACGAAAAGCAGTTTTCATGTTAGTTCTGTAAGAAAACAGTTTGAGACATAATGACAAACATACTGAAAAATCCATTTTGGGTTTACATACACTTTAGGTACGAAAAAATCCAATCTTCACACAAACCAATGCATATTCTTAAAGTAGAAATGTCATCTTTGTACAGTGCTAAACATTTCACATGCTGCCGCAGGTGCGATTACATTCCGCACTCCATAGTTACATCTCAGGTGCTGGCTCAGCTCGTCTTCACTGAAGCAATCAATTATGCCAACAACAAGAATGCTGCGCACCGAGATGCAAAATGATATTCCTCCTTTATTAAAATAGCCAGCAGGAGCACATTCTGTTCTGGTAGGCAGAGCACTTTATCAAAGAAGTTTTCTTACTTTTTTTTTTTTTGTGTCAGACCATTCGAGCTCTTGGACACTGCCCAAGGGCCCAGGGTCAGTAGGGGGCCCCATGAAATGCCCCTGGTACCTTTTTTATAGGCTTTTTTGGGTGTGCTTTGAGTGTGGGCAAGGACATAGGGGCCCCATGATCACCTATTGCCCGGGGGCCCCATGAGTTGTCAGTCCGCCCCTGGAAAGAGTTATACCTACCAGTCCTACTTTGCTGTGCAACCCTATGTGAAATGCAGCCCTCCTGTAGGAATGAATGCAGATTGCGACGTGGGCCAATTCACACCACAGAAACACAGTCTGGCATTTTTTTAATGCTTTTTTTATGCATTTTCAATGCATTCCAGTGCCATTTTTCCCCATTTGTTTTAGTTTCCTGTTTTTTGTATTTGCTGCAATGCATTCCGGTGCATGTTTTGATGTGTTCTGGTGCATTTTTAATGCGTTTTGTGCATTCTAGTGCAGTGCCTTGCAACAAAAACACAGCATGTTCTACTTTTATTGACTGGACTGAAAGGCACTGCAATGCTGTGAACTTTGCCATTGGAATCGATGTAACCTACTGTCCATGCGTTTTTGAAAAAAAACCACACTAGACTGCATGTGGTGTGAACTGGCCCTGAATATGCAGAAGGAACAGAAAGTAGGAGAATTTTTTCAAAGAAACAGCTGTGTGGAGCCCAGTGGGACACACAGCAAAGTTTATGGTAGTGCAGGAACAGGTATGTATAGGACTTGGAAAGGGTGATAGGGGATGTTGTCTGACACCTAAAAGGAAAAATGTTTGTAAAGTGCAATTGCACTTTAACCATTTCCCCCCGGGAAATTAAGTATTGAACACGTCACCATTTTTCTCAGTAAATATATTTCTAAAGGTGCTATTGACGTGAAATTTTCACCACATGTCAGTAACAACCCATGCAATCCATACATACAAAGAGACCAAAACAAATAAGTTCAGAAATTAAGTTATGTGTAATGATATGGAATGACACAGGGAAAAAGTATTGAACACGCTAACTAAAATTTATTTAATACTTCGTACAAAAAACTTTGTTGGTAATGACATCTTTAAGATGCCTTCAATATGGAGAAACTAGTAGCATGCATTGCTCAGGTGTGATTTTGGCCTATTTTTCCACAAATCTTGAAGGTTCCGTGAGCCTCTTCAATGAACTCTGATCTTTAGTTCTTTCCTTAGATTTTCTATTGGATTTGTCAGGTGATTGGCCGGGCAATTCTAGCAGCTTTATTTTCTTTCTTTGAAACCAGTTGAGAGTGTCCTTGGCTTTGTGTTTTGGATCATTGTCTTGCTGAAATGTCCACCATCGTTTCATCTTCATCATCCTGGTAGATGGCAGCAGATATTTATCAAATTTTTCCATTCATCCTTCCTTTAACCACTAGCCTACAGGGCACTTATAACCCCTTCCTGCCCAGGCCAATTTCCAGCTTTTAGCGCTGTCACACTTTGAATGACAATTGTGTGGTCATGCAACACTGTACCCATATGAAATTTTTATCATTTTTTTGTGACAGATAGAGCTTTATTTTGGTGGTATTTAATCACCTCTCAGTTTTTTTAGTTTTTCTTAAACAAACCAAAAGCCACTAAAAATTTTGAAAAAAAAAATGTTTTTGGTATAAAAATTTTGTAAATAAGTGATTTTTCTCCTTCACTGATGAGGCTGCAGTGATGGGCACTGATAGGCTGCACTGATGGACACTGATAGGTAGCACTGATGGGCACTGATGAGGAGGCACTGGTATTTGGCACTGATGGGCATTGACAGGCATCACTGATGGGCACTGAAAGGCAGCACTGATAGGCGGCACTGACTGGCACTGATAGGCAGCACTGACTGGCAATGATAGGCAGCACTGACTGGCACTATTAGGTGGCACTGATTGGCAGCACTGATAGGCCTTGATAGGTGGCACTGACTGGCACTGATGGGTGACACTGAAAGGCAGCTCAGATGGGCACTGATATGTGGCATGGATGTGCACTGGTAGGCACTGATATGTGGCATTGATGTGGCACTGATGGGCACTGGCAGGTGGCACTGCTGGGGCTACACTGATCATCAGGGCACACTGATCATCAGTGCCCTGATGATCAGTGCACATGTCACCTCCAAGGAATGCTGATTACCGGCTCTCCTCTCCTCATGAGCTGTCAGCGTGACAGCTCGTGAGGAGATATGCTGATAACCGGCATTTCACAGTTTACATGCGATCAGCTGTGATTGGACACAGCAGATCACATGACTGAGCCGACATCTTTGGCTCTTTCCGAATGCACGGGTGAGAATGGGAGGACGTCATATGACGTCCTCCCAGAACGAGAGAACCGCCTTGCGTCCATCATTGGACTATATGGCGGGCGGGAGGCGGTTAAGGATATAAAGTTTGCCAGCACCTTATGCTGAAAAACAGCCCCACACCAAGATGTTCCCACCTCCAAACTTTGCTGTTGGTAAGGTGTTTTGGAGGTGATTTCCAGTGCCATTTGACCTCCAAACATGTGTGTGTATTATGGTATCGATTTTCGATTTTGGTTCGATTTTGGTCTCATCTGACCAGACTATATTCTCCCAGTATTTCACAGGCTTGTCTAAATATTGTGCAGCAAACATTAAACGAGCTTCAACCTGCTTGCATGGTGAGCGTGCCTACAGACCAAGGTGCATTACTTGTTGTTTTCTTTGAAGCAATTGTACCTGATAATTCCAGGTCTTTCTGAAGCTCTCCACAAGTGGTCCTTAGCTATTGGACAATTCTTTTAATAATTCTTTTGAGTCTGAACCAGCAGATATTAATTTACACTGACAAGAGGCAGGATTGTTTTCTAATTACTGATAGATTTCAGCTGGTGTCTTGGATTTCTATGCCGTTTGCATTTCCCTTTCTTCATGTGTTCAATACTTTTTCCCTTTGTCATTCCATTTTATTAAACAACTTAATTTCTGAACTTATTTGTTTGGTTTCTTTTCATGTATGGATTCCCTGGGTTGTTACTGACATATGATGAAAATTTCATGTCAATAGCACCTTTATAAATATATTTACTGAGAAAAATGGTGACGCATTCAATACTTATTTTACCCACTGTATATGATATCATACTCTAGGAAAGAATTCAAAAGCAAGAAAGGTTTTAAATATTTGTGTCATCAAGACTTCAGTTTAAAATACATTTATGACTAATATTCTTTTCCAGCCTTTTACTGCTGAGAATTACACAGTAGTGAGATGCCTGAACAGGTCACAGGTTGCCCACAGACATCTGAGACACAACTATGAAGCTTATGGAAACCTGTTAAAGTCATTAGTGGAACATACGACAGGCATATAAACGCCCAACAAGGAATCCAATGATCAGACACATATATCACATGTTAGAAGATGAATTCTTTTATAGCCATACATACAGAAACTACACATCATTAAGTTCAATAAGTCATGCTATCATCCACAATTCATTTCTTATGTGCTCTCTTTTGGTGTGTTAAATATATGTTAAATATGTAACCAGAGGCGTAACTAGAACCTTCAGGGCTCCAGTGCAAGAAACCATAAACGGCCTCCCTAACCCGCATCTGGGACCCCTCAACAGTGGAGGAATGCCAGGGCCTGGTCGCACGTGTGACCTTTGCATCCTTGGTAAATCCGCCACTTGTGTCAGTATTTTTTTATGTTTGTTATTTTAATTTTTTATTATTTTTTACCATTTTATTTTTTTATTTATTTTTAATTTTTTTAATTATTTTTTTTTACAATTTTTAGGAACCCCGATGGGTGGCTTTAGTGAAATATCAGGGGTCTAAACAAACTTCTGATGTTTCACCTTTGAGACAGAGAAAGAAGATTAAGGACACAGCCCTCAATATCCTTCTCTGTAGCCTCAGCTTTACACAATAAATGTACTGAGCTTCCTGTTCATTCATAACTGAAGCATCGTAAACAAAGTTTACTATCCTTCAGTTATGAATGAACAGAGTCAGTGATCGGTACGGATTACTGACTCCATTCATTATGATAAGGAAGGCCCATTTGCCGTCTCCTTCACCACTCTCCATCCCAATAGATCCCCTGCAGAAGCCGTTGCTGTGGGTCATTAGCAAGGGTTGGGGGGAGTACAGAGGAGCCTAGGGCAGCAAGAGATGGATAGGAGGGGCGGCATGTAGAGGAACCAATCCACTCTATTTTCCTACTGCAGCCGCTGAAAGGCTGAAGGACAAATATGGAGGGGATCAGTTCCTCTATATAAAGCACCACCGCCCCTTCTATCTATTTGTACAGGGGGCCACAAGGACCCCCTGGAACATGGGGCTGGATCACAATTGCGACCCCTGTGATCCCTGTACATACGCCCTTGTATATAGAACCTGAAAGTGTTTTGTTATATATTTTAGGTGCAAAATACATGCTGATCCTGTCAGAAATTTAGTTGGCTATCTTCCTTTGCTCTCTGCCTGTGCTGCACTTTTATCAGGTAAATTGTTCTCAGCTATCTCTGTAGACTACAGAACATCCCCTCTCCTATGCTATGGAGAAGAGGAGCATTGTGGAGTTCTTTCCTACGATGACAATCCTGCTCCTCCATGAAAGCAGAACACCAAGTGAGTGCTGTCACCTTGGTAAAGGAAGTGTATTAATGACAAGATTACCAGATAATATACAATAAAAAAAGAGTTCCCTGAGTAAGGTTGCTTTCCTGGAGGGTGCCAGGAGAGGTACACCTAATGAGGGAAGTGACTACAGAGAACACAGTCCTGTGAGTACTAATGACCCCAAGTGAAGGAGAGACTGCAAAGGGGAGATGGTTCCCAAGGTGTTGCACATGCTTTCACATGTGACTACTGCGGATTGTCCACTAAACGTGATTGACTATATGTCGAGTGACTCCAGAATGTATGTCAATGCGATGTGAATGTTATGCTATTTGTTGAATCCGACCAACAAAGTGCAGCAACAACTTTAATGTGTGTATTTTTTTTCTTCCTTGGGGATATAAAGGTCAACGGCCAAGAATGTTGTGTGGAGGTCTCTGGCATGGAGTGGGGCTCAACATGGTGGAGGGTTCGACCCCAGAAGGAGAGGTAGAGTGTTTCTAATACGATAGGAGCAGGAGTAAGGACTTGTGCTCTTGGCACCAATTCTAGCCAACCACAAAGTCAATCTTAGAAACGTGGCCAATCACCCAGCACCTGCACCGCTACATGGAGGGAGTCTTGTCACATGTTCTGTCCCCCTTTGTAATGTACAGCGCTGAGGGGCGCTTTATAAATACTGTATAATAATAATAATAATAATAAAATGTGCTCCTCCATATCTGGAACTACTGGGTATTTCCTTTGCTGCTGCTGGATGAACTTAGCAGTGGAGAAGCAAAGAAAAAATTAGTATAAACTATCACTGGAAATATCAATGGCAATGACAACTTTGGGCTGAATGCTATAAACCTCCTACCAAATAAAATAACCAGAGGAGTTTAAGTTGCTTCTTTTCATTAGTAAGAGGAAATGTGTGAAGTTAAATACTGAGTATGTTTTATAGTCCAGAAGCCTCATAAAAAGAATTCTATTACACAAGTCATGGTAGGAATGTATTGTGTCTTACCGGGTAATAAATCAACAGCACAAAAGCCATGTAAAGGTATAATTGTCACATGATCCATTACTGTCTCTTTTACTGTCTTTTATCCAGATACCCAGACTGGAGGCTATTCAAGACCAAACTACTGTCTCATCGCACCCATATAATTTAACAAGCTTCAATAAATGTCACAACAATAACACTTCTACTGTAATAAAGCTGCTTCATTTAGGAGGGTGAGCAGATCTATTAGTGATCTAATAGACCAGAGTCACTTGTAGAAGTGGAAGCAGTTCCTGGGAACTGTGAAAGCCACTGACATACAAACCTCACATACCAAAGGGCTGATTTCATCAACTGAGCAACACAGACACTCTTCATTCGCAAGAGACGTGTTGACGCTACACTGACTTCCTATAGCCCCAATGCATGGACAAGTCAAAATATCTTTATTTCTTTGCTGTTCTCCTATGCAGTATGCTTTCAGTGCATTGGTTTTGATGCGAACCACTGCATCGCAATACCAGCATGGTGAATAGAACTGTTACTGACATTTCAATAAAAATGTGTGGAAAAAAAAGGAAGCAGTGCAATCCACCAGGATCAGAATTGTGTCTCCCAGCACATACCAGCATGGCTCACGGGTGTGAAAAAATTCTAAAAGCCCAGGTATGTAAATATCTGTACATCCATAGCCTGCACACAGGTTTTCTTTAACCTCCCTAGCAGTCTGATTATGTCAGTATTTCTGTGCTCAAAGCGGTACATTTATTTGCATGGAAATATGTTGTTTTTTTTTTATTGTAGGCCTGTAATTTTTATTAATAACTCACTGAAATCTGTCCGAACAAGAGTCTAGTAAACATCCCGGGTAGAATAAAACTTGAAACACGAAATCATAAATTATAATATATTAAATAATCATAAAAAATAATAATATAATAATAAATTTAATTCAATAATATAATCAAACCAAAAACACTGAAATTTGAAATAGAGCGCCAAGTTCGCACATCTCTGAGCGAAGTCGCAAATCGTTTTCAGTGTCTGATGACGAATGTCCCCACAAATCATTATCACTCAATTCTGCAAGTGGTTCTAATTTACTATCGCTGTACTCTAGCTGGTCTAAAACCGATTTTGACCTAAAGGGACTTTTTGGACACCATGGACATTTCTCTGTTTTCAGGCAGAAAGAACTGTACAAATGCAGGCAGGGCACAGGACAAAGCACTAGGGACAAAATGTATGTGAAATGGTTTGATACAGTAATGTTACATTATGTGATTTTAGTGTATTTAGCGAATGTCACTTTTTTAACATTTTTAAATTTCCCGCCGGTTCCGTCCCCCGTACGTCCCGACGCTCGCAGGGACTGGAACCCGGAAGACGGATGCCGGCATCGGCTGGAGGAGATGGCTGGGGATGCTGTAGGGGGGACATGGCGGGAGCAAGGACAAGGTAAGTGCAAGAGGGATTGCAGAGCAATGTTGCAGGGTATTCCCGAGTGTAGCTTGGGGTTACCGATATTGGTACTGAAAGTTTACCGCGAGCTACACTTGAGAATACCTCCAGGGAGGTTAAAGTGGTTGTAAAGGCAGAAGGTTTTTTACCTTAATACATTCTATGCATTAGGGTCAAAATCCTTCTGTTTTCAGCTCCCCCCAGTCCCCACTTATAC